TATTTTCCTTCTACTGCACAAAGACCTACTGTGTGGCTTGAGGGCAAGATGAGAAATACATGAGCACAGAGGATTTTTCCAAGGCACTACCTCTAAAGGAGCTAATATCAGGGATAACCAGGAACAGCACAGGCAGCCCTGGTTTTTGTCAGTCAATCTACTTGGAGCTGAAAGAAACTTAGAAAAAAAAACTCAACCGGACTAGTTTTCTAAGTTACCTAGAAACCTAGTCCGGTGTTTTTCAGCTTACTATGACCTGGATGACTGAGAATCTGCACAGACAAATCTATTGGGAGGTCTACACACACACACACACACACACACACACAAAGCATAGATACAAAAGCTTCTTATTATACAGAAGTTACCACAAGAAAGAAAAGCCAGTCTGTCTATAAAAGCAGCAAAGTAAGGAGAGTAGCTGCCTCATCGGGCCATGCTGAGACACCGATGGCTGTCACACACACTCAGCAGTACAGATGGCTCATGGGCACACACAGCAGCACACAGTGACGCCACATCATGGCAGGACACCAGTAAGACTTTCCACTTTGCTATATTTAGTCAAGCTTTCAAGCCTGGTCAGTGTTAGAATTGTAAAAGCCTAGACATGTGAGTGTCCCTGCATCCAGTTGTCCAGCCGCTGTCTCACCTTGCACTGTATCGGAGTGATAAGATCCAGCTCCTCATCTCCATATTCAAACACCTCCTCTTCCTCCTCCAGTACCTTGTCCAAGTAGCAAAGTACCTCCTCCTCTTCCTCCTCCATGATTCCTACTCTCTTTTTGGTTCTCTTTTTTCCTCCTCCTCTTCTCTTTCTGCCTGTGAGTCCCCCTTTTTCAGGGCCTGCCTAAACACATCAGTGTTTCCCCTTCAGAGTCATCTGGACACCAAGACAGAGAAAGAGAGAGGACCCCGCCTACACATCCCCACCCCCTCCCTCTGCTGACTTTCCGTGTGTGTGTAACTCTGTATGTGTGTGTGAGCCACTGTTCCACCTCGGTCGATGAGGTCTGCCCTCCCCCTACACTGGCCCCTCCCCTCACAAAAAAAATGCTATCTAGCCACTTCCTTAACAGCAAACTAGGAAGTTTTTTTCTGTGCTGGGAGAGTCAGTCTGCTTCTTTCTCTTCATTTCTTCCTTCTGCTCTCTTCAGGCAAAAGCCACTTCCTCATCACGCAAACATGCAGCTTCTCTCTTTCTCAAATCACTAAGCATTTCAGAGTTCCTTCTGTCTCCTCCGCCCTTACCATTGTTTCTTTATTGATCTGCTGAGAGATCTGGATGTTGAGCTGAGACCAGCTAATGTGCTGATGGTGTGGCTGATTCTAATTACAAGTCCCATAATTCACTGTATTGCAGCAGTTTCACACAGGCAGAACACACAGTTTAAATATTAAACAGTGCTCCTCGGTGTGCGCCAAGATACACTGCTGGAAAATTGAATACCACTAGACACTTGGAATGAAGTTAAATTTGACTGATATGTGAGACTCAAGATATGATGATTCAGCTCCACAAGTGTATTTGTGAATGAAAACCCTTAGATGCCACTACACAGGAAGTGACATTCACTACTGTTCTACCAACCTCCCTCTAAATTGTCTTCCACCTGTCTCTCTTTCTGGCTGAAAGTTTCAGGCTTCAGGCTTATCTTGCAAAAATGAGGCAAATTCTTTAGGTTTTGAGCCCCCTAGCCTAAATGACATAGGTCAGAATTATTTTACAGGCCAATGACTTGGAAAAGTCCTGGGAAATTAATCTGAGTAAATTTTGGGTTGTGGTTTGTATTTGTAGGTCACCACCATTACGCATCACTGATATGGGCATAGAAAGTATCATTTAAGTAGAGGAAGACAAAGGAAAGAAAATAATGCCAGACCAAATGCAATGGAAAAAGAATAAGTATGACCAGGAGGATAAAAATGGAGAGGAGGAAACAAAGGCATAAAACAGGTCAAACTGGTTTATAGCCCAAAATCACAAATGAGTCCTACAGCTCTCTTTGTTCTTAGACCCTCCCTTTGACAGAGTTTAAAAAATAAGTAGGGATTACAAAAAAATATCTCTTAGTTCAAATCTACCTGTCAGACATACACATTTACATGCATCTTGCTAAAATCACCAACTAACCACTAGATGGAGACATTTTCATTTTCATGGGCTGACCCCACATTGAGTGATTCAATGAACGTAACAGACAAATACACTTAATCATTTATGAATACCTACCATTTCAAGAAGATCGATGATCAAGACCAAAGCATATTTACCATACTAAGATAATACACTGTCAACTGAGTTGCTTAAAGAAGAATGAAGTAAAAGCCAAGGGGAGACTGCAGGCATCAGAATAAGTGGAGGGTGAAGATACAGTATGTCAAGAGTGTGTGAGGTTCACGTTGGAAACGGTGATGTGAGGCATTTCTACAAAAGGTGCCAAATGTGAGAGAGCTGTCTGCAGGAAAACTACTTCTGTTTGATGTGGATCATGGAAACAATGTGTAGATCAGGGTTCATGCTGCATATACAGTACAAGCTGCTGTGATCTTGTGAACTTTCTCTCTCTCTTTATGAGAGCATTGGGGTGGGGGGTGGGGGGTGCTGGAGGCTGGGTACACCCACTAACACTGTCAGACACACAAACAAGTGGTCACAAAGGACACAGAATCCCAGTCATACAGATACACACACCCACCCACAGAGACATGAACAGAGCACTGCTAACCTCTGACCCACTGGCATGAAGGAGGGAGGGAGTACTCTAATGGTAAGACCACTGAAACATGCAAGTAAAACCACTCAGAAAATGTTCAGCACTTTTATGACGAGCATACTGTATTGCTATTCTCTCTCAGAAATTAATGTAATGACAATTGACTAATGTGTTTCCTGGTTATGAAAGCTACTACATCTGTTCTAGAGGCCTGGTGTCTTAAATGGGGAAATCCACAGAAAACTGTTTCATATTTCCTGCAGCAACAGCAACAGTTTACTTGTAATGATAAACAGAGGTGGTACCGCTCCACTTCACAGAAATCGCCACAGTTACAGAATAAACAAAGGCAACGGTCACCTATCACCTTCAGTAACTAAATTTATACACTAAATTATGTACTAGAAGTGTACAGCAATACACTGAAATTCAAAGAAAACAGGGACCAACTGATATGAAAGCTGCACTTTGTAAGAACTGTCAAAGTTAGACTAAATTACAGCACTGGGGATAAACACAGCAGCCCTCAAACATATTCCTTCATGCTGCTGTGAATGCACCACCCACAGTGTGCTGCAGGCAGCCCAGCTAATGTGGCTAATTGCTAACAATTACAGAGGGTCAAGATCGAGTGGCCAACTTCAGGGAGACACCATCTGCAGCCCAGAAAACAATAAAAGACACGTACAATTAAATGGTCTTAGCATGTGGTCAGTTAAGGGTTTTTGTCAAAGTTACATGATTTTCACATGGTAATACAGTTGAACAGGCACCGCTTTGAAGACAGCATGTCATATGATTGGTTCTTTTAAAATACTGTACGTCTCAGCACAAAACCTATGTACCCTTATAATGTATGCCAGTATATGTACACAGAGAGAGTTTTTAGTCACTGTAATTGGTCCTACTTGCTCTTTTAGTATAAAATTCCATGCTTGTCTTGCAATCCCACAATGCAGCTCTGCAAGAATACACTGCAGTGAAACAGAGGGAATTCTGTACTAAAGAGACTATAACTTTGATAGAAACCCAAATGATCTGACCAACTCAGACTACTGAAGCTTGATATTTACTGAAATTTAGAATGCATTTTGACACAGTACACAGACTGTGGAGTTTGTCCCACATCACTTACACAACTGGATAAGAAAGGGATCGCTTCAGTGCCAGTATGGAAAGGAGGAATGACTACAGTGTCCAGTACCTCTATCAATGTAGACTACCAGTCAGAAGTTAGGACACACCATCCCATTGTGTCCAGACTTCTGACTGGTAGATGCCACATGTGAGAATATGAGTATTGCATTCAAATATACTTAAAAAATGTTAAACTACCAATTATACCAATTATTGCTGCTGACCTGATTAGGTCCCATACATCTCTATTTTTATATTACTTATACAATTTTTGTTTTATTTATGTAAATAATATGTCTTTAAAGCCAAGAGCTGCCGAAAAAAATTTCATTGTGCTATGCATAATGACAATAAAGATTCTTGAGTCTATAGGCGTTTCCAGAAAAAAGAACCTTCATCATCTGATGAGAACAGAGGATTTTCATTTGAAAGCATAAGCAAGGATTAATGTCGCTTTGAATAAAATATGTTTTGACATGAAAAAGGAAAACGGAAGTTCCAAATGCTGGCTTTTCAAATTGTTTTTGTGCTAAAAAGCACAAAGAAATGACCAAAACAGTTGTAACTGGCAGCTATATTACCAAGCACCAAGACCTTAACTCTGACTGAGGAATGAATAGATAAACAGAATTGGTGATAAAATTGTCACTGTAGCCGTAGGTCTGATGACCTCAGACTTCTAGTTTGCTTCAAGTGGCAACCTCCTCCTTCTTCTACTTTCAGCTGCTCCTGTTAGGGGTCGCCACTGCAAATCATCAGTTGCCACCCAACTCATGTTAGTGGCATGTTAAACTTGGCATATTTTATGCCAGATGCCTTTCAGGATGAAGTCTAATTTAGAGTTGCCAATCAACCTAACCTGCATGTCTTTGGACTGTAGGAGGAAACCGGAGCACCTAGAGAAAACCGATGCAGGCACAGGGAGAACATGCAAACTCTGCACAGAAAGGTGGGTCAGCAGGGGCGTGACCGCCGAACCTTCTTGCTGTGGGGTGACGGTGCTAACCACTGAGCCACTGTAAGTTGAGAAATGAAGCCAATGTGGAAGTGCCAAAACCTGCTTTTCCTCAAATGGCCATTTGCGGCTGGCTTCAAAAGGGAGTCAATCCCTACAGACTCCCATGTTACAACAGATATAAAGATATTTACAACCTGTACAGCTTTTATACACAGTCAGTGCTTTGCTTTAGTGTCAAAATTCAGATTGTTAATAATACACTAGATACACTTGATCAGCTACAACCGACAAAAATACCAGAATAGTCCTTAAATCCATTCAAAGTTTTTATATATTCTACTTAAAGTGTCTGGAGGAGAATTGCACCTGAGCAGCCATCTAGCATGTGATACCAACCTGAATCGTGCAGCCTACAATTTCACATGGCCTTTCTCTCCCATCTGTAACATTATTCCATTGTCTAATAATATAAAGTTGTACATAAAAGTTGAAGTGTGTGCACACTCTTACCCCGGAAAGCAAGCTCTCTGGTGGCGTAGGGGAGACCGTTTCTCTGTCGGGCCCTTGGGGTGCACACAGCTGAGGCGACATGGTGGGCGATTCATCTATGTATGGCAGCGTCTCGGAGCCATCCTGAGACTTTCCATCCTCTGCCCCGTCCCCCTCATAGCCATCTGTGTTGTAGTTAAAGTCTGGGGGATAGAGTGGCAAAGCCGGAGAGAGGGATGAAGAGAAAAAAGGGAGATAGGTGCTGGTTAGCATTTCAGAGACAAGGCCATCGCGGGCTCCAGTAACTCACAACTGCAACTCAGTGCTTCTTCTATGCCATTTTTAAGCACTGGATTCTCCTGTTGCCCATCACTTAGTCTGTTAGCTAGTGCATGTTGGGATTAGATGTGGAATTCATTTAACCAAGAGAGAAAAATGCATGTTAGACAGGCTTTCTTCTAAATGCTCTGATGTAAGAGATGGGGAGAAATGAAGGCCTATATTTCAGGAGACACTATATAAAAGCAGAGGGCGTGTGGAGTTTTAATGTGAAAAGAGCTGCTGCTGATACAGACATTATGAGGAAACTGTGTTTCATGAACTGAAAAGCATATAAACATCTTCTAGTAGAGCCGAGACAAAAAAGCTAAACCTGAAAATGAGCATATTAAAACAACACTAAAATCACAGACTTAAACTGTGGTATGTAGAAGCTGCTGTGAAGCTCACAGACATCAACAACATGAAATTATGCCAACAACAGCATGAATCAGTCTGGCTGCACTGATTTCAAGGCCAAACTGTGTGTAATTATTTAGCTGCATGGAGCCAATAACCAGACATCCAGTCAACCCCTGTGCTAAGGATGCTACACAGCAAACCTCTCATTTAAATTGAATTTTGTTTGTGTGGCATCACAGTTAGTAAACTCTGTCTCAGTGTCAGTACAGAGGTTGAAATTCATGTCCTGTGACAGCACTGGCCTTCAGACTTGAGTAACAGTGAGAGCTGCTGGGAACAACTCTGAAATGACTCCTTCCCTGCCTTCAAAAAACCCTGGTGGAGAAAATAGCTGAATAACAAAAAGGTGTGGAGAGACATAAAAAGCTGGACATAAAAGTCAGACATAAAAAATGTTAGGTTGACATTTTCTATACCTGCTATCTTATTAGAAGAAAAGTGTATTTTTGATAGATAGTCAAGGATGGTGACACATACTACAATGTGAAATGCTGGATATTTATGCTTCAGCGCCAGCGATACACATGGCCAGAGGCATTATGCTGTCAAATTGCCCATCCGTCCATCCTATTCTCACGAGTGTGATATCTCAGGAAAGCCTTGAAGGAATTTGTTCAAATTTGGCACAAACATCCACTTGGACTCAAGGATGACCTGATTAGATTTTGGTGGTCAAAGGTCAAGGTCCAATGACCTCATCTGTCCCATTACTATGAATCTGACTGTTTGGCAGAGGCATACAACCATAAAGTGGTAATTCTAGTCTAAGTGAAAATCGCAAACAATCGAAAGCAACGTTTGCTTACACAGCAGTCATAGATTTTCCAGGATGTTCAGTTTTTACCCAAATGGGGTCCTGTTTATTGGCCTGATATAATATAGTATATAAATTTTATGAACTTGGATAGCAGAAGTGTATGCAGCAAAGCTGGTGTAACTAATATAAAAAAATCATTGAGCAGTGGGCTGAACCAAATGTTTAACAAATAAATCATGTGGAAGATATGTAAGTGTACCTCTCTGCCTGCATATAACCTACACTGAGCTCAACCAACCACTCTAAAGTACAACGGTTTCTCAATTCAACACCACTGTATGTGCTCAAAGTGTGTGTGTGGGTGGGTTTGTCTTTATATACTTGTGCGAACCAAACCCTGACGGAACACCTTTCTTGTGTGGACATTTCTTCTTGTGTGGACCTGTTGGGTGGTCCACACATGGAAAATGCTAGGATAGGCTCCTTTCATCCTAAAGAATGATCTGTCTAAGTTTCAGAAGATGTCCACATACAGAGAAGTCAGAAAAATGTGTGCCAGCTTGTGCCTTAAAAGTATCATGCTCTGATTAAATACTGCTTAAGCTGAATTCATGCAATACTGCCTGTGTCTTTAAAAGTGCACAGACAGGGCAGCTTAGAAATGGGTGGGAATCAAAGAATATTTACAACACCAGGAACTTGAGGCTCACCTTCAACTAATGTTGCATTAAATGCATGCCTCAACACTGCGGAGATTGTGGTAGCACCACAATCAGTGTGCTGAGAGATACGACGAGGAGAGAACCGTGAAAGCTGAATTAGACGATGAAAAAAAAAACTGAAAATTGTCCAGGTAAGATTTATAAAACTAGTTTTTTTTTATTTTTAAATTCTGGTTTAGTCCTCTGGCTCATTCTCCAGCGTCAGTATTTGTGAAGCTATTAAGCTAATGTTAGCTTTGAGTTATTTCTTTAAATAGAGGCTCACAAGTTAAAGCTATTTAAACTGTCTTTGAAGATATGCCAACTTTATGCAGGAAAATAAACCTGATGTATGCTTTATTTGTAACAGTTTTTCTGTAACATTGTCAATATGTTTCAAATTTACTCTGAATTTTACAGAAGATGAACAGAAAAAGGAAGGTACAACGGGAATTGGTATGTTTATTTATGCTTTTTATTTTGTTGTGGGATACAGCAACTGCAAAACTTTATAGGTTCATTATTTGAATAACTACTATTCTAATCTGCTTGTTCTTTCAGGAGGACTGTGCCACAGATGACTCTCTGTCAGAATCCATTCCTGACCTGGAAAGTGAATATATCCCATCATCTGAAGAAGACCCCTGCAACACAAACAGCAATGATGGGAATCCTGATGACAGCGGCGACAATGAGGATGAGGGTAGGACAGTGGTTACAGTGAAAACCTGCCACAAGGGTCAAAAAAGAAAGTGGGACAAGCGTCATTACTGTGTATACTGCAAAAAAACACAAAGTAAAATGGCACGGCATCTGAGGCAGAAACACAGCAGTGAAACAGAAGTGGCCCTAGCAATGTGTCTTCCATCAACATCAAAGAAGTGTCGCCAAATATTTGAGCAACTTCATACGAAGGGAAATTATTATCATAACATTGAGGTGTTGCAGAAGGGTGAGGGTGAGATAGTAACCTATAGACAGCCATCAAAACATGCAAATGCAGAAGATTATTTGCCATGCAACATTTGCTATGGGTTCCTCATAAAAGATGAGCTATGGAAACATGAGAAACGGTGTCGCAGAACAATGTTCGAGTCAGAAGTTAAATCCCAGAAAAAAAGAAGAGTTCTAAGATGCTCAAACATTGTTAAGAGCATGGTAATTGACAAGGAGTCCCTTGAATTAAGACATGACCCTCTCATATGTGTATATGGAGATAGACTGGTGGAGAAACGGGAGTGATCAATTAAAAGGTAGTCATGTCAGTCAAAAGATGAGAGAGTTGGGTAGATTTTTACTTGCTGCCAAGTCCCTTGACC